TCCTTGTTGATGTGGGAAGAAGATTAGCAGCCTGTTCAGCTGGGGCTGAAACGATCGTAGATTATTACTGCTGGCTGGTTTGGTATGAGAGAAAAATACTGTTCTTGCTAAAAATTTACGATCGTTTACGACCAAGCGAATAGCCCGTAGAATAGAGGTAGTGAAGTTAGAAAAGCTAAGTATCACGAAATTAAGAAGCATGGCTTGCAATCTGCTTAGGCTTCAAGAACCTCTTGACCCCACTGTGTAAAATATATCAAAGGCTTGCTATGGTGAGCCAAGCCTCCTTTTTTCATCCATGCTAATCGCCGGAACTGGAGCAAGGAGTGAAAGTTTATTTGGAGGTATCTTCCCTTCTGCAATTGAGAGAGAAAAAAAATGCACAATCGATTTGAATACCACGCTTTAAATCTTCTGCGAAATGGCTCAAGTCTTTATGAAGGCGTTTTATATGGCTCTCTATTTGCACACTAATGCCCAAAAGTGCTTAAAATTAGATGACCACACAAATAAAATAACACTGAATAAAATAGTTAGATTGTAAAAATTGGACTTTCATTTTTTTGGTTGATCTGCATTGACCAAAATCTCTCTATTTCTATGTGGCATATCAAACAATATGACCAGTCTCTGTACATTTAAATTTAATTTCATCTTGTAGCGCTCATATTTGAGTTTGTGCAACTATTATGAGTATATCGGTGACCACAATGATTTGACCCTAGAAAATTTGTTTTAATTTTGATGTGATGTTGGAGCTCACTTTGGACAATAAAAACAAAACAGCTACTATATAAATGTGAAATACGAACTATCAAGTATCAAATATGTGATATGTGTATTGTTGAAAACAACTCATATCATAAGCCCAGGAAGGTACTAGTACCAGGTCATAGACTTGGCTGCCAGCAAGACTTTGTAGGTGCAAAGACAAGCATTGTCCAGGTGAGCTTCAGTGTCCTTGTCCTTCATACTATCTGATTCATCATCATCCTTGTTTCACCTGTCATGACGATGGGCTGGTACGATAGCCTGAAATACAAAATGGCATAGGAAAAAATAATCATTCACATGCGGTTTTTAGATGCAGTCTACAGTTGAAGAAAATACAAGTTAGCATCAACTGATAGGGAAAGCAAACTTCCAGGAGGTACGCTACAAGTTAATCCTGTTACCTAGGTTCTATTTCTACACTTGCTAAACCAATCCACTTTGATAAACAAATGAGCTATAGATTAGAGTATGGTCCTTTGTCAAACCACTCAACAGGACATAAGTGTGGTTGTAATGAAAAAAATAATGTTTTCACCACAAGATCATATTATTCTGCCTACTACTATCGTTGTGACAGAGAGCTAATAATTTTTGCCAAAGTAAGTTAACTAAAGGGCATAATTCATTATAATGTAAAGGTACATGTGCATATGGATTTCTCAAGCTAAGGGCATATCACAACTGATCCAACAAAATTGGTGTTGAAATTTGTTGAGCCCTCGGGAATTTATTTTGTATTTATTCAAGTTCTGCGCATTAGAATAAATAAAGAAGACATGTGCATATGGATTTCTCAAGCTAAATTGGTGTTCAAATTTTGTACAGCCCTCTGGGAATTTTTTTTTTCGCATTTATTCAAGTTCTGCACATTACAATAAATAAATAATTTTCTGGTTCGTTCGAGTAACATATGCAAACATATTTTAAAAGGTAGAGGATTATGTTATGAATCTAAGAAAATTAATTTCATAGTATTTGAATCTATTGTTATTTTCCTATGATTTTCACAAGTTTCTGCATGGATCAGTACCAATGTGCAAGTTCTTATTAGCTTGTACTATTCATTTCTTGTCCTCACAAGCAAACACATAGAAGGAAGGACCAAACCGCTACAGATCCACATCAAGAAGCATTCAAACGGGATGCGCAACCAGTTGAAGGAGCTAGATATAAGCCGTATATGAGGGATTTGGCTCGAGTTTACCTTGTTGAAGGAGAGCAGAGCTCTCTGTGGGCGTGATCTCCGGCGAAGGTGACGACGAGCACTTCGTGCTCTTTTGTCTCTCTTGCTGTGACTCGGTAGTGGCCTCGCTCTTCGCCTCACACAGAGGAGCTTCCGCCACCGCCGCTGCGCTCGCGTCTAGAGAGCACGGGGTGCTTGGCGGCGGCGCCTGTGCCACGCTGGGCGACCGCGTCTCCTCGCCGGTCGCCGTGCCCTCGCTGCCGCCCGCTCTCCCAGGGAGCACGACGGGCCAAGGGCCCAAGAAACTTCGCGAGCCATCGGATGTGAGAAGCGGGCAAAGACCTGAATCGCTACCGCATCGGACGGAGGACGACGGACTACATTGCTTGCTCGTCGGATCCAACGGCCAGCGGGCGACGTGGCCGAATATGGTGCGAGCGCGTGGCCAAATATGGTGCGAGTCTGGTGCAAAATTCGTCTTTTAAGAGACTAGGACATCAGGCGCCCTGGGCGCCCTACCGTGACTTCTCTTCCGCAACTTGAATTTTAGCAGGTCCATTAGGGAATTGCTTCATTTATCAACAGAAAAAAAATCATAATGGCTAATTTCCTAAAAAAAGCATAAACGGTTTATAATCTTGAGTTGACAGGTAAAACACTACAAAGGCCATAGATAAGTAAGTAAAACATATGAGATCACAAAGCTACATTCAGGGAGTGAGACAAGGCCAAAAGAACTAAAGAATTCACTCGTTGACAACAGTTTTACAAAAACAGAAGACCAAAGATAAAACCTATTATCATTATGCATATAATGGATTAATGGTACATCTACATAGATAATCCTGTAGCCTCCTGTAGCAATGGCCATTGTGATCATGAAAAATCAAATCACGAGTATCATCATCAGAGCAAAGTAGTCAAAGCCCTATCAGTTACCTGCAATTTGGCACACACAGTACATTAGAGCATGGTATGACATAGAAAATAGATGCAAGCCAAAAAAAGAAAAGAAAAAAACAGAAATGTGGCTTACAGTAATCTGCAAAGAACCATTGAGGCAGTAGCCATTTACCAAGGAAATGTTAAATGATATTTCTTAATGCACGATGTAATATTCAATAAATAAATTACTGGTCCGTAAGACATTCTATTTGCCCTCCTTTTCCCAAATCAATTTTCAACTCTAACATCCTGTGTATTTCTTCCAAGAGTAACCCACATGTCCAAAGGGAGAAAAAAAACAGAATGGCAGTAGCAAAGGTATTACACAAATAATAGCTGCAGTCTACACATGTAGAAGAATATGATGGTTGAATCTCAAGGCTCATAATAAAGGCCGCTCTCATATTAGAATTTTTTTTCCAAAATTAGATTAAAATGGTGACCGTGGGTGTTGTTTCATTCGATAGACATCAATTTCCAAGAAACCAAAAGTTACTTGCAATGGGACCATTTAAAAAATTCCATCTATTAGATTATACTCATTTAAGCCTTTATGGTATGGTATACAAGTAACCATTGTCAAGAGTACATAATTTAATGCATGGTAGGACATAGAGCTACAAACTAATAGTTCTGACGAGCAGATATTTGTAGGACCATCTCTTCCCTGAGCAGAAAAAAGCACAACATATGGTTTTCAAAATTTTGTTATGCTAAAATTACTGACACAAAAAATCCAATTCTTGAGAGCTTCCACAAGGCAAATCCAGTGGCGAGTTGGGGCATGCTAACACACAGCATACTTTACACCATGAGAAGAGATTTCTAGTTATGTCAAGAAGCCTGAGATATGAAACATGCAAAATATCATTGTGGAAAGTATGTTGTGTGTTAGCATACATCTCATCTGCTCCAACCATTAGCCTCTATTATTTCAGTATAATAACCCTTGAGTTACGGCATGCTAACACACAACATGCTTTCCACAAGTATGATGTGTATTAGCATACATCTCACCATGAGAAGAGATTTCTAGTTATGTCTAGGGTTATTATTAATTGTGAATACTGAAACTATGCCACTACAAAATAGCAAATGGTGAAAGAACTGCTCCATTTCCTTCAGTACTCTATGGCTTATACGTAATCAACATGACGATCATAAGATAATATTCACTTATAACCAATCTCTTTAGTCCATCTGACAGTACGATTGACCTCACTCCTTTGTATGAAATAGTTGCACAGATCAACTCATTAGAGTTATTGAGCCTCTACTGAACTTTGTGGCATACATCTCATTTGAATATTGCGGCACCCAAATAAATTATGAACTTCGCCAAAAAATAAATAAATTATGAAGGCACAAACTCAAGGAGGTGTTAGAACACTGCACTAATCTTGTTCATCGTTGTGAAATCCTGGATGCGGTAGCAGAGGCGGAACTGGAATTATAACAATCCAATCTATAAAGTTGGATGAGAGAAGTCGGAAATCCATAAGAAACGATTTCCTCGCAGTGCAAAAACCTGCAGCTCACCTGGCAAACGTTGAGATCCAGAGCCTGTCGTTGTGCTCCTCGCTGCTAGATCTCTCGGAGTTGAGGACGACTCACCGAAGACGAACGCAACCCCTTCAACTACACGACACATCCACGACGCCTAAATGCATCTGAAGACAGGCAAGCCAATGGCACCTCCACGCCATGGATCCAAGGAGGTTGTTCCTCCCTACGCGCTCTAACTCACCACCTCCACCAGAGCTGCACCCCTCGCTCCCAGCAGCTGAGAGAGATGGGATAGAAATAGAGAGAAGGGGGAGAGAGCGACGGATGGGAGATAAGGCCGAGACTGGGAAGAAGAAGACCGGGGACGGGAACAAGGGGCCGCCGCGCTCCCCGTAGAGCCGAGCACCGCCATCGCGCTCCCCGTAGATGTTCTATGATGTATTTTGTGATGTTCACACGATATACATGTGATGTTCTATGAAATCTAATAGATTTAGTACCAAAAGATCTGTCGGACAGATAAATCTCTTACCTCGAGTGTAGCAGGTATGCGACATTCATGCAAAACTGTCTCAAGAGTATTCCATCAAGTTCAGCGCCCCGCCCGTGATGATTCACCATATCCATACATGGTAAAATATTCAAGATCTTCATCTTGACCCCATTCTTTTGTATCTGCAGGGCTATTGCTTCCCTCCCAGATGCTGGCTTTGCGGTCATCCTCAGGTGAATGTTTCATCAACTTGCCATCAAAATAAATCTGGAGACACCAATCGTGTTAGAACTCTAGTCTCAATTCAATCAAATGAACATCTGATTTTAAAGTTGTGCCGTATTTATACTAATATTAGCACAATACCCACTGTTAGAAGATGGCTTCCTCAGTTTGGGACACAAGCAATGCTAAATGAAAAAGTACCGGTCACATGGAGTAGCAACCATGAATGCTTTATGCTATTCCTCCACCAGTAAAAAAAAAATAGAGCTTCGACAGAACTAACTTAATACTGGCTAGTGAGTGCCTAAAGTTACCTTATCTTTTATGTCGCTATGCCTGATCCAGTTATAATGGCCCCTGAACCATCTTTGCAATGCGTCATTATCATTGATTTCCAATTTCTTCAGAGCAGTAAATGTCAGTACGTATTCAGGCAGAGTCCTTAGTCTAGTGCAGCCAGAAATAATGAGTTCCTGCAGTGATGACAGGATTCTCAGTTCTTCTGATAGCTCCACACTATGACAGCCATCTATCTGCAGTGATCGGAGTGATACCAGAAAACGAATGCCTTCTGGCAATGTCGGCCAGTGGTAATTTGAGATTTCCAATACCTCAAGAGTGGGGATAAATTGAAGCAGTGCCCATTTGCTGGGCAGAAGTCGGCAACTTCTAACATGCAGTTTTGATAGCATCAAAGAGGATGATGAGGCTGCATCATATTGACTTGCTACAACTCCATCACTTGCTTCTATTCTCCATTCATTTGCCCTAGGAAGGCATGGCTTCAACCTTAACTTAGGGCAATGACAGATTTCCAACTTGTAAAGGCTAGGGAACATAAACTCACCCTTTGCTGAAACTTTGGTGACCCACTCCTCGAGGTTACCAAGATTAGCCAAGGTAAGCTCTCTTAGTTTCTTAAATGCTCCATTGCCACCACAAATATCCACTCCCAGTTTCCTGAGGATAGGCATTCTCTTCAGAATCAGCTGCTCCAAATTTTGTAATTGGCCAAACGGTGGTAAATGTTCAGCATCTGGGTAAATCTACATCTCAATGCGAACAAGATCTGGTAGACAAGACGCCAAGTCTATCATCCATCCAGAAAAGGAAGTTGCCATGTAGCTTTGTATTTTCAAAGTAACTAGACTTTCAGGAGGCTGTAAATTTTGCAGCAATGCTTCATCCTCCACAAAGCGTTCAACTGCAGGTGTCCATGCCATTGTCAAATTGTATAGTGTTGATTTAGCTGCCAAATTTACTGCATCAATTTCTTCAATACATGTCACATTTTCAAGGCACTCAATTTCTAGTTCAGCTGGATATACAGATTGTAGCCGTGAAATATTGCTACACATCCCAAACGTTTCTCTTTGAACAATAAACTTGGGCAATGTCAGAATATCATTTTTGAACTGAGACTCCCTGACACGCTTTTGCAACCAGGGCGAACATCCTTGTATTAGCAGAAATTTGAGGCTGGTAATTTCACATAAACTTTGTGGAAAATTCTCTATCCACTGACATCCTGAGAGATCTAAAGTCTGGAGATTCTTTAGATTGCTTAAAGATTCAGGTAGATAGATGAGACTTGGACAACGGGACAGGTTTAGATACTGTAGGCTAGTAACACAACATATATTCTCCATGCCAACCAGTAGATTTAGTTTAAAGCAACATGACAGGTTCAAATAGTGAAGTTCAGTTAGCCTCCCGAAGGACTTCGGCAAAGAATAAAGAGCAGAACAATGTGCCAGGTCCAAATGTGAGAGGTTCTGCAGGTCACTGAATGATTCTGGTAATGAACAAAGCTCACAGCATCCAGACAGGTTCAAATACTGAAGTTCACTTAGCCTTCCGAAGGACTTCGGCAAAGAATAAAGAGCAGAACAATGTGCCAGCTCCAAATGTGAGAGATTCTTCAGGTCACTGAATGATTCTGGTAATGAACAAAGTTCACAGCATCCAGACAGGTCTAGATGTAGCAAGCTTCTGAGTTTGTTTACTGAGTCTGGCAGCTTTGAAATTTTTGGAGACCCACTTAGGTTCAAATAGATCAGGTTTGAAAGGCCAGTGACATGCTCAGGAATCTGTTCATGTTGCATGCCAACAGCAGAAAGATACCTCAATTGCTTCAATTTGCCAATATAAGCTGGTAGGTTCCCATTGGAGCACTTGCTTAAATCCAGTACACGCAAGGATTTACTATACAATGACATCGGAATTTCACCACAATCAAAAACATGCAAAGCTCTTAACTTAGCAGGAACATCACTGCATGAAGCTGTTTGCCTTGGGCAATTGACTACTAATGCATACCGGTAATTGCCATATTCAGAATCGCAGTCCTTTTTTCCATCCATGAGTAGTAGCTCATCATCCATAACAGATCTTGCAAGATCATGAATTAGGTCGTGCATGCTAAGCAGCATACAATTCTTTGTGTCCTTCGTAATCTGAAATATTCAGAGTATATTAATTAGACGTATCCTAAAAGGTCACTAAAAATATTTAATACAAGATAAGGATTAGATTACTTAGGTATATTTTTTGACTCACCAAGGATGTTATCCTAGAGTATTGGAGAAAGGACATTCCCAAAAGTTCATTTACATAGTTTTCTCCAATCTTCTCGAGTGTTAAATCCTTCCTAGAATTGGAATGAATGAACCCAAGGGATATCCACTGTTGAATTAGATTATCCCTATGTATTTCACAACCTTTAGGAAACACTGAGCAATAGGAAAAGCATAGTTTCAAGTAAGGAGGCATATGGTAATAACTAAGTTTCAGCGATGGAAGTACATCATCTGTGGATGGTCCCTCCCAAATCTCACTATCTCTTATATTTTCCCACTCCCGGACATCTTTAGTGCGCAGCATGAACCCAAGAGCTTGAGCTGCTAATGGCACTCCTTTACACTTCTTTGCAATTGTCTGCCCTATGCTTTCCAGCGCATCCGTATCGCCTTCTCCTAAAGTGCAACCAGATTGAAAAGCAATCTGTCTGAACAATGCCCAACAATAATCATCAGACAGTGGCTTCAGCTTGTATGGAGCGACTGTACCTATGTTCCTTGCAACTTCTTCATTCCGTGTTGTTACAATCACCCTAACCATACTTTCCTTCTTAAAGCTGCTTAACATCAACATTAATTCACCCAACCGAAAGCAATTGCTTTCCCATAGGTCATCCAAAACAATCAAGCAACTTTTGCCATCCAGTGTCTCTTCAAGACAATTACTTACTGCCTGTAGATCATCTAAACAGTCAACCTGCCCTTTGATCTGTGAAATTATACTCTTCCCAATCATTCTTAGATCAAAATGTGGAGACACAAAACCCATGCTCTCAAATCGAAACTTTGCATCCGGTCATCATTGAAAACCAATTTAGCTAATATGGTTTTACCAATACCCCAAACCCGAAGATAGGGATTACCAGTGTTTCTTTTTCATCATCTAAGTTTAACAATGTTACAATTTCCTCCTTCTCTTTGTGCCTTCCAACAATAGTTGCTCTATTGATCTTTGATGTTGTTTGTCTCTTCTTGATCTCTTCCTCGTCTATTGAACAGGCGTCTAGCATGAATCCGAACTGTGTCCTCTGTGCTGCTATGTCTGCTAGCTTTTCTCTCATATTCTTCAGATTTTTACCCATAGAAAACTTTGCAACAAAGCTAGAGATTGTCCCCTGTTCAATATGGAATTAAATTGAAACAGGTTTTAAAAGGGAAAAAAACGAACGAAGTTCCTAAATAACTGATGCACAGCTTGTCAGCAGACAGTCTTAGCATTACCAAATAACCTACACAATGTTATATAACAAAGTGGTTGAACCTATCTAACAATTGGTTCCATCAGAGAGATTAACTTTTGTACAAGTGCTCAATGATGTGACTAACATCGTCTCTCTTCAAGCACCCATGTGGCCATGTCTAAGCATCTTGCACAGTAGTATATGCCTAAATGAAAGAGGTAACAAAAACATATGAAGATGATTGCTGCAGTAGTTCAGGACACAGGACTGTAATTGGTGCTATTACGAAGAAGTCTATGTTTTTTAGAGCACACGCAAGAGAAGATCTACCTGTGACAATTTGATTTCAAATTCATCGAGCATATCGGATATGTCGTAGGCGGCATTCTTGAGCATTTTGAGCCACAGCCTGACCGGTTCCTCCCTCACGGACCGCCTCTCGGCATCCTTGAGTACCGCTTGCACTACCACCAGCGTGCACTTGATGTACTCCATGTCTTGCTCTAGCTTCCATCGCGCCTTGATCTGCTCCCCGACAGCAGATCCCAGGTTGCGCAACACCTCCTTGAGCACTACGGACACGAGCGCTTCCCCGACACCAGCCATGGATGCTAACGACTCCGCAGATCGCAGGTCAACGGCTCGACTTCTTGTTCTTGTTCTTCTTCTTTTTTTTTTAAGAACGGCTCGACTTTTTAACAACTGAAGTCTGCAGGTGCGAGAAGTGAAATATCTGTCACTCTGTCCACTCCGCCTACCACTACGCGTGAAATCGTTACGCGGAATGGATTTGGTAACGCGGAATGGAAACTCACTCCGACACTCCGCCTCCCAGTGCGCGTGAAGTCGTTATAGGCGGAATGGATTTTTTTTAAACACGGAATCCAATTGGGTTTTTTTTACAACAACTTTTAATATATAACGTTAAAGCACATTATACCGGTATGAGAAAAAAATTTCTCAGAGCACAGGTAAGTTAGGACCTGTATGGGACAGTTTGCTCAGCTTCTGAGCCCAATAAGCAAATAATCTCGCACAAACGCCATGCGATCAGGGCCAAAAAGCGAACGCGCTTCTGCGATCTCTGGTCGCCCGCAACGTATCCGAAATCGCGAGCAAGGCCCCGCTTTTCCGACATCGCGAAGGCTTTTCCTCTCCCTGCCCCTCCCTCAAGACCCAAGCGGTCCCGTGCTCTCTCCCTCCCCCGTTCGCTCCCTCCCCGCTGCCTCCCATTCCCCTCCGGCCCGGCACTCCCTCCTCTCGCCAGATCCGCCACCGCCTCCCATTCCCCAACGCCGGGCCTCCCCTCCCCCACCGCCGGTGCTCCAGCCAGTGCGCCGGCGACCGTCCCCTCCCCTCCTTCGGATCTCCAGCTAGGGTGCCGGCGGCCCTCCCCTCCCCTCCTTCGGATCTCCAGGCAGTGCGCCGGCTCCCCTCCCCTCCCCCTCCGCCGGTGCTCCAGGCAGTGCGCCGGTCCCCTCCCCTCCCCCTCCGTCGGTGCTCCAGCTAGTGCGCCGGCTCCCCTCCCCTCCCCCTCCACCGGTGCCCAAGCCAGTGTGCCGGCGGCCCTCCCATCCCCTTCTTCGGATCTACAACAAGGGCGTCGGCTGCCGTACAGCAAGGTGATTAGGTGCTCCAGCAGTTGATTTTCACGGGTGGGACATTTTCCGTTCCAGTCCTTTGTGTCCACTTGTGACAATCCAATATCGTTGTTTCAATTGCATTCAGTGCAGTGGGTTGGCAGGAGTGATGAACCAATTAGACGTGCGAAGTTACCTTATGAGCTTAACTTTTGAGGCATACATTCAGTCTGACCTGCCAGTCCACTAATTAGTGTTCTGCATTATGCGACACTTGTATAAGTGCCCATTGTTGATATCGGTGCACTGCTGCTTTTGTGTTTTCATAGAATAGTTCATTGGCAAGGAATGATGAATCAATTAGATGTGTGAAGTTTCCTTATGAACTTAACTCTTGAGGCATACATTATGTCTGACCTGCCATGCTATTGTTTAATTTTCTGCTACATTCTATGGCAGCTGTTACAGCCCCGTTTGGCTTACCTTAAATCCGGCTTGTTTGGCTTCTTTTTTTAGCCGGAACAATATTTTTCTCTCACAACATTTCAGCTAGAACAGTATTTTTCAGCCAATTTCAGCAAGCCGAACGGGGCCATGCCATGCATCTATTTAGTATTCTGCTGCATTCTATTTTTTTATTGTTAGCAGTATGTACATCTTTTCTTCATTTTGTTAATGGCATGCCTATCCTGCCTTACTATTTGTATTATGGCTTATCTGTTGAATGTTACTAGAGCTCTTTGTGTTTTGGTAGTATAACTTAGGGTTATTTGTTCAGTTGCAGTGTCTTTGGACTGGGATTTGTGCTGTCCTAGGCTCCTAACACAGTTGGTTGGCTGAAATGATGAATCAATTTGTTCAGTTAGCGGATGATATGAATATGTGTGCTTTCCGTGATGTTATTGCTATTGTTAGAAACTTGAGTATTTTATAGCAATTACATTACCCAAATGGATGTTATTTTCGACTATTATTGTACATTGCAACTTAATGGAACCATATTGTTATCTCAAACTTTAAAAATATTCTGACCATTGCCTTCAGATTATTGTGACGAACCAAAAGAGGTATCATCAGCCTCAGGGGTACATAGGTTAATTTACATCCAAGACAGATAATCTACCAGAAATAATCAGGACAGCTAAACGCCCAGCTTATTCAGACAGCAGATTCTCCAGATCGTGACTTATCAGATAAGGCTGCTAAGCTTATAAGCGAGACTCAGAAAAGCTGAAACAAACAGGGCCTTAAAGCTACTCTGAATTGCTTCTATAGACATAAGTAATACTTCCGTCGGGGCGCGGGCCCGTCGAGGCCACATGGCCCACGAGAAGTGGCCACGATAGAAACATCGAGGGTTCTCGTTTTCGTACTCCGATAGAACAGCCGGTGCTCCCCTCGACTGTCTAATCGGCCTATGTCTTCGAGGACAAATAGTCTTGAGTCGTAGATAGGATGGAGGCTTCACCGGACTCAAGAATATGGATCCATAGCCACCAATGTAAAAGAAAAAAAATCCGAGGACCAACTTCAACTGACATTGGCGGTTAACCCACACCAATGGTTGTGTTACCACTTCCATGTGTACAAATAAAAAAACAGATTGACAGAGAATATAGACTTGCTGTGCCCGGCAGACCCACAGAGCAAGAGATGGCCACCACGTGACATCAACTATGCCTCTCCAGATGGGCATGGAACCGCCCATGAAAGCGTAGCCTCCTCCATGTGATACACGTTGCACTGGTGGGGCCTAGCCCTCAGAAGATGGACCCCATAGCGCAGTAGGTAGGCCGCACCCGCACCGAACGGATCGGAAGCACCGAGGAAGTTGAAGACGGGACGGACGCAGGAACCTGCAGCAGCGAACGACACCGCCGCAATGGTCCCCACTACGGACGCGAAGGCCGGCGCAACCTCCACCGCTCGGGAGATGCAGCCGACCCCGGCCTGCATGGACGCAGGCGCTGGAGACGAAGAAGGCCGAGAAGGCGCGTCGATGCGCGCGTTCCACGCCTCCGACCTGCAGGATCCGCTCGCCCAGGGACGTGAGGACCCGAGGCACTCGAATCCCTGCCAACCGCCTCTCCTTGTGTTGGTGTTGTAGGTGACCTTGTCGGCACTGCTGTTGAAGTTGTCGCCAGGCGTGCCTCTACCCTTGCTCGATCTGGATCGAAGCGGCACCATGCCACCTAGAAATCCAGGGAGCGGGGGAGGGCGAAGCACATGAGAAGAAGAGAAGGGCTTTATTGTAGTACTCACCTCATCGATCTGGAGGAAGCTTCCGTCAGTCACCATGACCGCGGCGAGCTCGCCCACCTCCAAGATGGCGACAGTGAGGAGGAGAGTCCTCAAAACACTCATTCGGGCACTTATTCCGCTAGGGAAACTCTACAGAAGAGAAGGAGGGGGACGGGAAGGGACCAGGAAGGGGACCGGCCCACCTGCCCTCATCGGGGGAAATATTTTTCAAATTTTATCTTGAGCCCCTCACATCCTTCTGGCAAGCTCAAGACGACGCTACTCGAAGGATACAAGGCACTCGGGGACTAACTGTGGGGGAATATACCCCCTATACCCTCATGGGTATACATGGGCCGCACCACCAGAAGTGGCCCAGCCCGCAAGGTGAAGACGTGTGGAGCATGACATTATATTGTAATTGTACCAAATTGGATACTTTACTTGTAACCTTATCCCTTCAGAATATATAAGGAGGGGCAAGGGTCCCCTAACGGACAAGATCATACAGATCTCACCCCAGATCAATACAAATAACAGAGCATAGGACATAGGGTTTTACGCCACACTAGCGGCCTGAACCTGTATAAATCTTGTGTCTTGTGTCTCTGTAACCATCTGGTTCCTGATTACACGCATCCTACCGATAATCTACCACCACGGGCACCCCCCTCGATGGACTGCCAACTATATTTCGTCGATAGTGGCGCGCCAGGTAGGGGTCCCCTCTAGGGGTTGTGCCCCTTTAGGGGTTGTGCGTGCTGGTCCTTTGGCGAGCCAGATGGGAATTTTCTTCACCGACGTCGTCATCCGCGACAACTCGGGATCCTGCGGTGGGCGACCCTCAAGATCAACTTTGCGATCAAGATTAACATCGTCCGTGGCAGCTCAAACGTTCGTCTGGGTCCAGGGCGGACTACGACGACGCGTTTCATGGGCAGCTACCAATGTGCACGAAGTCAAACAACAGCCCTAACATTCAGCACGGCGTCCGGCAAGGGTCGATCTGATCAATCATGGCCTAGTTGGTCCCGCTTCATCTCAAGGGTCTGGCTTCCCTCCACGGCTGCCATGCATGAATGAAGAAGACATATACTTGTTGAAGCCATCGAAGTTGTTGTCGGCGGCCGGCGGCGCACGACCACGACTCCAAATAGGCAAGCAAGGGCACGTCCGAGTCCTAAGACAAGCAAATAAAGAAAGAGATATATACGTACATCTACAAAGTGCCATGCAAGCCGATTACCAGAAAGTCATGCAAGCTAAATATTGAAGACCATGCAAGGACAAAAATTCATACGTATGCATGTACGTGAGCCGTACATTACGTACAGATTTGTTGCTACTCTTCCACGTCTCCAACATGAGTTTGACTTCGTCCGAGCCCATCAAGTCATTCAAACTGATCATGCTATCAAGAAAGGTGGAGCCGAGTCGAAGCAAGCCGCTCAAGTCATCACGCAAGTCATGACAAGCTGCTAGCAAGCCACGTTGAGCCATCAAGCGAGCCGCTGAGCAAGCCGCATCGAACCACGTCAACCACGTCCCGAGTGGCTCCACCGAGCTCCGACCACGTCGACCACGGACCACATCGACCACGTCATGAGCGGCTCTGCCGAGCTCCGACCACGTCGACCACAGACCATGTCGACCACATCCCGAGCTGCTCCGCCGAGTTCCGACCATGGACCACGTCGACCACGTCTCGAGCGGCTCCGTCGAGCTCCGACCACCTCGACCACCAGACCACGTCGCAATGATGATTGCCACGAAGAACGGCGCTAT